TAGTGTTTTTAATTTAATTTGAATTTCCAGAATTGTTCATAGAGATAACTTTAAAACTAAGAGTCTAGGTTTTAAAGAATCCGGCAGACGGACAAAGAAACGGACGAACACGTCTAGATCGATTCAGATGGGAATGCTGATCAAGAATAGATACTTTCTATACCTTCTCTGCATTGCAAACTTCTTTTTGAAAATATACAGGGGTATACAAATAACAATTAAATCTGCGAATCAATAGTTATAATTTGTTCACATTAAAAAATCAGTGGCTTTTATGCAGTAAAGGAAGATTATTATTTTTATCTATCACCTTTTTCGGTTCAGTCTTGTTTTGTTCTTTAAAAAAGGCAAGAGGCTGAGAATTTTTTCACGACGCTCTTAAAAAAAAAACATAATTAAAATCAAAGATATTTTTATTTTATGTTTTTGCAACACTGAATAATACTATATTTACGATTGTCTGGGTACCTCCTCAATTAATTTTCAGGCAAAGTAAATAGTGTTTTATATTTAATTTTTAACTTGCATTGTACTCCGTCTTAAAAAGACAGCAACCGCGTTTAGTTTTGTTTTCTGTCTCAACAACATGGGCTACATATGGAACATTTTTATCTCTTTTTCTTTAAAACATTTAACAATGAAATAATATTACAGTAGAATCCGCTTATAGCGACTTTCAAGGGACCGACGAGTTTTCGTCGTTATACCCGGAAGACGCACTAAGCAAAAGGATATAAGTGTATAAGTCTGTCTGGGGACCAATCAAGCCATCGAGTTTTCGTCGCAATACCCGGACGGACACTATAAGCGGAGTCGTTATAACAGGATTCTACTGTAATTTTAAGTTGTAAGACTTGTCATGCCAAAGTGTTCTTATATCCTTTTAGAATAACGTCTATACTATATTAAGGAGGCTAAACTATACCCCAATGTTTGCTATGACCTTCGCAAGCCACTTTGACTGCAACCAAGTGACAAGAATTAGAATTGCGAGCTCAAGTTAGAGATTGAACAGCTCAGATAATCCATTAATGTGTTCACGAACTAACCGCCTTTGACAGGCAATGAAAAGCCGCGGAAAAAAGGAGTTAGGGCTGGAATGCCAAATAAATATGCATGAGAAAATTCACCTTTGCGGGACGCGTGCCTAACTTATTGCTCGATTCTGGGCACTTACTCTAGGTGACGATCAAGGGGGTTGACTCTGCCGCAATCAAATACAAAACAAGAGTCGCACAATTAGCAGCCCTAATAGTTTATGTTACCTAAATCTGACCCAGTGAGTTCCCGAGTTACCTATTTTTTTTGGGGTGTTATTTGTGTTTTTTTTTAAACTTCTTTTTGGGTTGGGTGTGTCAGGGAAATCAAATCATGTGACAAGCTTCTAATGAACCTCCGAAGGCACCGTAAAGTGTTTTTTTTGTTCCCAGCCTACTACATTTGTGCGGCGTATAAATGCTAATGAGCCCTCACATTTTTTGCCTCAGTCAGCGTCAATCTCTTTTTTTATAGATTTTCACGGACATTTTTTGGGTAATTTTTTGTGGCTCGTTTTGGAGGTGGAAAGTAGAAACCGTCGCTATGGACCAGGAGCAGGAGCAGGAGCAGTAGCAGTACCAGGACCATGGCTTGTCTTGTGTTCTCGTGCCCATCATCGTCAGCTTCGTCCCGAGGGCCTCCTTCCCTCATCTGCGTGTGCATTTTGTTCCACTTGAGTTTGTTTGTTTAACGACCTTTGAAATTAGGCAAAACTAAGGCGCAAAGGATGAGGTTCAATGTTCTGGGGTTGGCTCAGAGTTCGGGTTTGGCTTCAGGTTTTGGGTTCTGCCATTCTCGATTGGACAGCAGACAACAATTTATACTGTTTATATGCTAATTTCGTCGATCGCCCTTTCACTCAGATGCCGCCGCATCCATTTTATTTGTATGCAGATTTAACATTTGCTGGCCTATTTTAAATTAGCTTAATGTTATGAATTAGCCAACTTCTGGAGGGGTAGAAACCCTTGAGTGTTTCACGAACAAAATAATTCAATTAATTCTTAAGAAGTATACAAGAAATCTATTTCTTCATAGTCAAAAAAAAAAATATTTAAGTAGTTAAGCTTAACGAATCTAATTTTTTATTTTTTAAATTTAAATCCCCAATTTTGTTGAGCACAAGCTAATAACATAAAAACAAGAGAAACAAAAGATTTTGAAAAATTATATAAAATGAAAGCAGATGTTGAACATATTTAAATACACATTACAATTATTTAGTAATCATTTAAATTTTGATATCCGTATGAGAAAATTAAAAGTAACCCAACTCTTACAAAAACATTTACTTTCGGTGATACTAAAAAATGCGGGACAACAGGTGCAAGCTACATTACATTCCCCAACATTTTTTAATAAGACTATATGACTTTTATTAAAAACAAGTGGGATTGTGTTGAAGTTACTTTCATTAACCTTAACTCAGCCAGGTCCCACAAAATAATAAAATTGTTTGCTTTTATTCTTTTAGTAAGAATTTTCAAAAGAAAGGATATGGAGTTAAAATTGCACAATTCAAAATTTAGCTTATAAAATAGCTCACCATTTTAAATTTTTTCCGGTTCTCTGATTGATTTTTTTCAATGTAAGCTAGACTCGACGACTTTTGTCATAACATCCTCATTAATCCTGGGGGTCGTATTCAGTTACGAAAGCTTGGCGCCAGATCTAAATGCTGGCCAAATGTTTAGCCCGTTAAATGCCACGCCCCTTATCGATTGCGGACCAACAGCAGGGGCTGCTATCTCAGCCGGCCCACTTAAATCCAAATCCCTGAACTCAGGGCCAAAACAAAAGCCAAAGACCTGTTCCAGCTGGGATCTTTGTGGCAAATTAGGACGACAAGCCCCCGAAATTCTGCGGCACACAAAACTATGCCTGATAGCAGTCTGTAGTTCGTACACCCCTCTGCTCACCGGAAGTCGAAAAGTTAACAGAAACCATAATTCAGATAATTTTATTTATAACACCCTTGAGGAATTATATTTTATTTACTCTTTCAAGTGTGATGATGAGGTCGAGAGCTGTGCGAGGCCTTGTTGGATGGACCGATACCGATATGGGTCCTTGTCAGGTCCTGCCCCTTTGTTATGCTTTGTGCTCGTTGCTTGGTGTTTGGTGTTTGGTGCTCGCTGTTTGCCGTTTGCTGAACTCTATGAAGCGTCTGGGTCGCCCCGGCAAACAAGGGTTGAATCTGAATTCGCGCCGGTCTCCTTTCGTTCCTTGGGTTTTCCTCCTTCGATTTTCTGGCAGATGTGTTTGTAAATTATCAAAATCTGTGTGCATTTCGGCATATAAAACTGACGCTTCAGGATTTTTATTGTGTTTTTTGTTTTTGTTTTGGGCGAAGGGCCGCCGCCCCCAACGCATCTCCTACGGGCGATGACTCGGCTGCGGTGCAGTCGGTGGTTCGTGTGGTTAGCCAGTGACTCCACAAGTCCATACACCAAGCTGAGAGCCAAGTCCTAGCCCAATCCAAAGCCGGTCGTAATTACCCAGTCAGCAGGAGCTCTGGCACTGGCAAATTTTTGCAATTAAATTTCACTTAAAACTGCTACTAAACGGAGCACTGCTACTAAACGGAGGCAAAGGGATCAGAAACGGGTAACGGGCCCTAGAAGTAATTTATTTCCGCCAATGGAGCTTCAAACATATCCGAGCAACACCCACTACTTCCTAATTGTGGAAACCAATTTGCGCCGCTATAAATTAGAAAGACAAACGACGTTTCTCCTCGACTCTCGCTGCATTTCCAGAGGGGAGCCAGTCAGTGGGGGCGTGTCCACTTACTGTTCCTGTTTCGGCCTTTTCCATATCTTGAACATTTGCATAAATAGACTTTAATTGTTTGCAATTATAAAACGAGCACTAACCGAGTGGCCCCGTCTCGCCCGCAACAACACATGGCGCCGTGGTTAGCTGAATAAAAGGATAGATTGAGCAATGGATACGAGAATAAATATACGTAGATCCAGAATCACAAGCAGTTATGGAAATACACAAATATTTGATAACAGGGATCATAAAAAAGTAATCTAACGTTGGTGACCAGAAACATACTGTATCTATGTATAAGTATATCCTTGCAGTTTAAATTTAAGTCTAACAAGAAAAGTAGCTATCTCCGGCAAGCCGAAGCTTATATAATATACCCTTGGAGTATACATTCAACAGTCGTTACTCTATATTCCAAAAATCATGCTTATCTGATAAAAACGATCAGAATCGAAATGCGTCTGTCCTCCTGTCTGTTTCTACGCAAACTAGTCTCTCTCTTTGAAGACCATCTTGCTGAAACTTTACCAAAAGTTGTATAGTTTTTGCACGCAGTATATAAGACGGAACAGGCCGGATCGGCGGACTATATCGGATAGCTCCCATACCAGAGAATGGAATAAAAAATCTTACGCCGTTGTTTTTGATCAGATCGACTTGAATTCTTCCAGATGGCATTTTCTAACTGCTATTGAATTTCGGATTAAATTTGATCAAAATCAGATATACAGCTGTACGATATAGTTTTCTGATAACAAGACTTTTGGTAAACTTTCAGCGAAATAGCTTTTCAACTAAGAGGCCATCGATACCTGCAAAATTAGTTTCATGAATCACTAAGACCACACTTTTGAACTCATGGATAATGGGTGATCCATTTATCAGCACGTTTACATAATATATAAAACTCCCTAATCCTTTGGTAACCATCAGCTACAGTTCTGCTTAACTAGTCTTGAGGTGATTTAAGTGATTAGTGATAAAGTGATTCGACATATGTAGACTAGGAAAAAAATTATCTTAAGTCAAAAGATGAAAAATGTTTGGGAATTTTAATTTGTTGTTTGCTATGATTCCAATATTTGATTTATTATGCAATTTTTTATTTTTGAAGGGGAAATTATTTTGTTTTTAAGCAACTAATAGTTTTGGTAAAACAATAATTTGATATCTTTGCCATATAGGCCCGCTTCACGAGGAAGGGATTAACTGCGAGGATCACAAGCATAAATCCTATAAAGAGCCCAAATCAAGTCAAAAAGCAGATAACGACACGGAATCTTCAAAGCGTAGGCGCTGCAGGACCAACTTCAACTCCTGGCAGCTGGAGGAAATGGAAAAAGCCTTCCTCGGAAGCCACTATCCTGACATTTTTATGCGAGAGACCTTGGCGATGCGGCTCAATCTGAAGGAGAGCCGCATAGCGGTGAGTGGAGAAAAAAGGGTACTGCAGTATTTGTCAGAGCTATAATGTAATAATGAGCCAAAATTGTAGTTTACTTCTTTGGTTAAGATCCATTGCCTTTACTAATGAAATTGTAACTTTTGATAAACAGTTGCAGAAAGTATTTCAGTTTCTGTTAGCAGTTTGCAAAAGAACATGTCACAACCCATAAAGTATAATTGGATGAGTATATCTATACCTAGATCCCAAATTAAATTTCGAAGAAATAACGGAAAAACAATTTTTAACGGATTTTTTTTATCAAACGGGCAGGGTGTTTTTATGACTCTTCAGTTCCGAATTGAATTTCATTAAAATCGGATGAATATATCATAAGTTATGATTCATAACTATAGCTGCCATATAAAATATAGAAAAGTCTATATAAAACTTACGAATTAAATGAAATTTTAGAAAATGAATAGAAAAATCGTTATATCTATTATATTTAGTCTATATAGAACTTACGAATTAATTGAAATTATAGAAAACTAGAGGTCCTGTGTCCGCTTCGCTGGTCAACACAATTTAACAACATAAAAGTCAATGTTGCAACATTTTTCAAATATATGGAAGTATAGAAAGATGGTGATTTAACACTTTTCCAGTTTGACTTTTCCACTTCCGCATAGTCGCCATTGGTCCAATAATATTGGACCAATATCTAAATTTTCATTATCACTGTAGTTCGATATTGGAGTGTCAAGCGTCCATGAAATTAACTGAGCAGAGAACACTAAGGTTTGCATAATATGTGAAAAAACTTAATTTACTTGGAAATGATAAATGAAAACCACAAAAATTGAGTTAAAATGCTATGGTAGCGTGTTTGTCAGTGTGATGAGGTAGCAACTCACTTTATATGCGCAATATTGCAATTTTCTTACGGATCCCTAATTTTTTATAATTTTTTTTTTATAATTTAAAATAAATTATAGCCTATTTAACTCCACGATAATGTAGCTTTCTAGTGGTAAAAGAATTTTTTAAATCGGACCAGTAGTTCCGGAGCCTATTCGCTGCAAACAAACAAACAAACAAATTTTACCTCTTTATAATATACGTATAACATAGATGAATAGAAAAATCGTTATATCTTCGATATTGTTAGAAATAACAAGTATATATGGTATATTCTTAATAAGCATCACGATCTGAACCGACATACGTCTGTACTCAGAGAGCTGCAACGATCACAATTTTTTCGATCATACTCGATCATTTACTCGGACTTTTTGTGATTGAAAACATTGGTTCAACAAAAATGTATGATCGTAAGCGATCGTGCTCAAAGCGAACATTCAGTTCCAATCACTCAGGCTCGGTTTCGAATGATTTTGTTAGTTCGAACCGTTTTATTTTTAAGTTTTTTTTTATCTTAGTGAAGTTTGTGCTCTTTAATATTTGAAGCATTAATTTTGTTGATTAATTTAAGTATTAATTATATTTTAATTTTGAGCTTTAATATTGAATGTTGATAAATGAAGTTTTGTATTTTGGTTGAATTAATGCATCGCAACTTTCTTTAAAATAAACATACATATTTACATAACAACTATGCACACATTTTCGATCTGATTCGTTCACTCACATTCAATTCAAGTGCAGCTTGATCGAAGTCTGACCGGTTCGTGCGTCGTTGTACTTGTCTTGTCGTCTTTTTGATCGATCATTTTCGATCATCATACCGAAACCAACAAATCAGTTTGAATCAGTAAGCTGAACACTAAAGTGAATGGTTCGAACTCGTTCGTTTTGTGCACGAAACTCGATCGTACCACTTCGTAGCGGCTAAGCGCTGTGCTGAGTTGTGATCGGTTTGAGCGAGTTTGATCGAACATGAACGAACGTCCGCCTGTCCGTATGCACGGTTGCCACTTCAAAAATTTTTAATGAGCCAAAAAAAGATTAAAATTGAGCCAATTTGAATAAAATAGAGCCAAATTTTTATTTCTTTTTTTTTTTAACTTGTATCATAAAAAAGTAATTTAAAAAAAGAAACAAAAACATCACAACACATTTTTCTGCAATGAAACTAAGGATTACTTGGTAATTTACATAAGTCATTCTGACGTATGATCAGAGCTACCATACCAGCGGAAGAATTTAGTTTCGATCTGGGACTTTTAGATTTCAGATATTAATCCCTTTTATAATTGAACAAAAAAAAAATGCATAATTAAAAAATGATTTCGTTTTTTTTCAAATTTAAAATATTTTGTATCGCTATTAGCAAAAAGAGCCAAATTCAATAAAAATGGGCCAAAGAGCCAACGAGAAAAAAAAGAGCCAGTTTTGGCTGTAGGTGTTCCACGCAGTTTATAAGTGGGAAACGGTCCGGATCGGGCGACAATATCAAATATCTCCCATAGGAGAGACCGAAAAAATAACGGAAAAATAAATTTACATTTTTATGTATACTATATACATATAATGTATTATACATATATACAGTAATTATATGTTATTATATTATAAAATTCATAAGCTTAAACATCTTAAACAGCTGCATTAGAACAGTCCTCATCACTGTGATGTTTATTTAGCTATTTATGTACTATATTTAAGCTATTTTGGATATTAGGAATAAACAAGAGGGAACGCTATCAGATACCCGTGGGCCAGATAAAGAGTGCATCACTATCCTCAATCACAAAACAAAAATGCTGTGTCATCAAAACTGTGGGCGTGACAAAGTTTCGCGGTTTGTGGACGCACATAAATTTAATAAACTTGAACTGCGTATGTGTAGAAAGAGTTACCATTTTTTAACCCAATACCGACAGACATATGTAGATTACATGGCCTAACGATCCTGAACAGGAATAAATGTACTTGTTGGGGTTGCAAGTGCTTCCTTTGACCTGTTTCATACTTTTTTCAAATACAGTACAAATTTTTCATACCTTTTGCTCGTAGAGCAGAGTAACTCTATGAGCAAAAGGTATGAAAAAGTTGTAAAGGTCGGCCTACTAAATCTTATATGTATGCAGCTGTTTTTCTTGTATGGAAGTACACTTTTAACAGAAACTGAAAGATCTACTGCATTCTGCATTTATCATGGTCTAAAGTTCTCTACATAGCCCGATTCACTTCGGATCGTTTTGATAACGTTTGCGTGAGCATTGTAAAACAATTTGGTGGCAACTGGAACTCAATTACCTAATAAAACCAATTACCTGACTATTTTTATCCAATATAATTCATTTTATTTCATTTGCAATTGCGTTTCGTGTCGCTCGTCGTTGTAATGATTTCAATTGCTTTCCCGGAGCGGAGCTTAACCCTTTGTCGTCCGAAGAGAGCCCGCCTCTTAACCCCTAGTCGGCGATGGTTGACTTTGCATGTCGGTCGTGTGATTATCGTAGCTCTTTGTCTACCTATCTCTTTCGAGGACATTCTGCTACGCTTACGTCCGAAATTGTTTCTTGACATGACATATCAATTTGTCAATGCGAACGACAAGACAGCGACAGTCTATCTGTTCGGCATTCCCTCCACACCGAAAAAACAAAGAAGAGGGGGAGAGCCGGGAACGAAGCATTGCATGCCGCTGTTCGAAAACCATTTGTTGCACATTAAAAAATGCACAATGCATGCAAATGATTTCAAACTGTCCCACACACACACACAGGGGTTGCCGCCCACTGGCAATCCCTCCCTGCCACGCCTCTGCCGCCCCCAACCACCCCCCGACACGGCTGGGTTCCTCGACAAACAGCACGTCAATTAGCGACGCCATCTTGTTTATGACTTCAACTAACCAAAGCAACCATGCCCATCATCATCGTCATTGTCATCAACAAATTCATCGTCATAGCACTATGGTCACGATCTCCAACGCGATAATAATGAGGATCCAACTTCAGAACGCATGACATATTGCCCTTGGTCTGTTTAATCGTCTGAGTCCGAGTTTCTGGCTTATTGAAATCAAATGTAGAAATTACGTTCATCTAGTAATGGATTTGGCTGGAGTATTAATCCACCCCGAGTATGAAAAATAGAAACAAAATCCAAACCATGTCTATATTTTTTACAGTAAAAGATGTAAAGATGCTTATTACATAATCATGTACTTAAATTTTAGTTTTCCTTGCTTTTAGATAATCGTTGTATATGTCATTGTTAAGTGTACAAAAAAAACCAACCAGAAAGGAAGCTAGCTTCGGCAAGCCGAAGCTTATACACCCTTGCCGTCATCAAATACGTCGAACAAAATATATAAAGGCTTAACAACATCGAAGCTATGACGATTTTTCATTAATCGCCTATATATATGACAGCTATACGATATAGTCCTCAGAGCAAAAGGGTACTATAATTTGAGTCAGAAGTTTGCAACGCAGTGAAGGAGACACCTCAGACCCCATAAAGTATATATATTCTTGATCAGCATCAGCATCTAAACCGAAGTACATAGGTCTGTACGTCTGTCCGTCTGTCCGTTTTTCCGTTTCTACGCAAACTAGTCTCTCCGTTTTAAGCCTATCTCGCTGAAAGTTTACCAAAAGGTGAGTAGTTATTGCACGCAGTATATAAGTCGGAACGGGCCGGATCGGCCGACTATATCGGATAGCTCCCATACGAGAGATTGAAATAAAAAATTCTGACGCCGTTGTTTTTGGTCAGATCGACTTGATTTCTTCCTGATGGCGTTCTCTAGCTACTATTGAATTTCGGATTAAATTTTGTCAAAATCGGATGACTCTATCATATAGCTGCCATAGGAAAGATGGGGAAACCTATTTAGAAACTAGCAAACCCCGGCGAACTCCGTTTCGCCACCAGATGGCAACGTACTCTTCTAGCATTCACTGTACTACGACCTATGTTCCAACAACGTCGCCTTCCAAACATGACTTTATAATTTCTGTACAAAATTTACTCAGTTTTAGACTTACACACAAGAAATTTCATCAAAATCGGTCCAGCCGTTTAGAAGGAGTTCAATGAGTAACACACGTACAGAAGATTTCCCGTCACACGGGAACGCTGTCGAAATGTTACATAAAACGAAGCCATTACCAAAACCCCAAAAAACTTCACTTCACTTCACTTCAATACACCAAAATCACAAAAATTTAGTTAAAATGCTAGTTAGCGTGTATTTGTCAGTGTGATGAGGTAGTAACTCACTTTATACGCGATTTTTGGTATGTCGAACAGGGTTTAAGAGGATGAAAAATAGATGTTGGTTGATTCTCAGACCTATGCAATACGCTCACAAAATTTCATGAGAATCGGTACAGCCGTTTTGGAGGAGTATGGTAACAAAAACTGTGACACGGGAATTTTATATATTAGATTATATGTATAAGATAATGGAAAAGAAATTTTAACGTCGTTGCTTTTAATCCCACGAGCATGATTTTGAAAATTTGGAGCTTTTTAATAACCCTTGAATCGAAAAAAAAATTTCATTACAATCCGAAAACGTTATCATATAGCTGTCATAGAAAAAATCTAAAAAATCTATATAGAAGTAACGAAAATAAAATTATAAGTAACATCGTTGTTTTTCATCAGAAAATCATGATTTTTGAATAACGAATTAAATTTCATTAAAAACTGACTACTATATCATATAGCTGCCATATGAACAATAGTCGAAAATATGGAAAATTAATAGAAAAACCGTCATAGCTTCGATGTTGTTTATATATTTTGTTCGACATATTTGATGACTGCAAGGGTATATTAGCTTCGGCTTGCCGAAGCTAGCTTCCTTTCTTGTATTTTATAATTCAAGGCTAGTTAAAAAACATGATATTCATAAATCATGGTCGTGTGATAAAAATTTCCATTAATAGTATATATATTTTTCGATCTCTCCTATAGCAGTTATATCAAATTTAATTCGAAATTCGATAGTGGTTAAATAACATAATCTGGAAGAAATCAAATTGATATGATGAAATCAATGGCGTGAGAGTTTTTTTCAATCTCTCGTATGGGATCTATCCTATATAGTCGCCCGATCCGGCCCGTATCGACTTATAAACTGCGTGCAACAACAACACAACTTTTGGTAATGTTTCAGCAAAATAGCTTCAAAACTGAGTTTAAAGAGAAACAGACAGACGGACAGACGGACAGACGGACAGACGTACAGACGTACAGACGTATTTCGATTCTGATCGTGATGCTGATCAAGAATATATATACTTTATGGGGTCCAAGGTGTCTCCTTCATTGCGTTGCAAACTTTTGACTGAAATTATAATACTCTTTTGCTCTGCAAGGGTATAAATATACATATATGTATAATTTACTTTCTACAATTTGTACATACACGTATGTATATCTAGAGTTTAATTGCTCACCAATAAAATAGATTCTAAGCTTAAGCTTTATGTAAATTACCCGCAGGTTTGGTTCCAGAACCGCCGGGCTAAGTGGCGAAAAAAAGATCACACCATAAAAGGTCCTGGAAGACCGGCGCACAATTCCCAACTGCAGAGCTGTAGTGGAGCTCCGATTCCACTGGAGGAACTGTGGGCCAGGGAAAGGTGAGTTCAAAATCTGAGGGATATTGCCTAGATCCACATCCTGATTGCACAGAAAACACCTTGATTAGAGCCCAGCGAAGCAAGCGGATGAAAAAGGTCATCGAACGTCAGGCGAGGAAATTGCGTCTTAGGGGATACGAGGTCAACCTCAAGCGGCTGAGGGCGGACTATCTGGCGGCCAACAAGGACAACTTGCAGGACCAGCAGGACCAGAACCCGGATTGTGACCCGGAGGCCATGGACTGCTACAACGGGGACGACCTACCCATCGTTGTGGTGGGCAAAGGCAAGAAGGACATGACAGGCGATGATCAGGACAATCCCTTCTGCTCCTCGAGAACTTACCCAAAAACCAGCGGCAGCAAACTGGACCCCGACGATATGGGAATGCTCATAAAGCTGAAGACGGCCCCCCATCCTTCGTCCCCTGCAAGGAGCAAGCCCCTCTACAGCTCCCCCTTCAGCATCGACTCCCTACTGTGCTCATGACGAATATCGAGTGTGTTTTCGGTGGCTAGCTAGAAACTAAGTGCGAATAAAGATGTAAGTCTTGGCCTTCACCTCTTTTTGGCATTTCTTTTCTTGGGATCAGAAGTGGGCGAGTGGGATTGAGAACGGTTAGGAGAACGCATTCTGAGGTGTGAGTCCATTTTTAATTCCAACCAACTGCCCGAAGGCTCTCACGGAGCAAACACCAAAAACCAGAAACAGAAACACAAAATCGGGGCGAGGAGGTATTACATCCATCAAGTTCACACGCACCTCGGACGGTGGAATGAGTCTGGTAAAATAATGCCTAAAACGCGCAGCTTTTGACAACTTTTCAGATCTTTAAAGTTTAACACTTTAACACTACAATTAAGTTAAATATTTTGGGCTTTCTTTTTAGCAACACTTATAGTGAGGCATTTTATAAATTTTCATTCTGTTTTTTAGCCAGGTTTTTAGAAAATCCTGCTCTTGTTTTCAAAAACGTGTTATGCACTTCAGAACTAATGGTTTTTCAAGTGCTATTGGTGGGCTACTATTGTCATGAACAGTTTTATACAGGGGCGTACGCAGGAAATACTTTCGGGGGAAGAGTTATTAAGCCCGAAACGCCCCATCCCCTGGGTACTTATGGTATGGATCTAACTTTTTAGTGGCAGTCAGAAATAAAGCGGATTTTAAGTCCTATTTATAACTCATATGTAAATATCTCAACCAAAACACACTTTACTTGATGGTCTGGTTTTTGCGGTTTAAGTAAGTCGCAATTGCGGAAATAGTTATCGATCGGCTACCACAATGAGCCTTTCCCACCAGCCGCTAAATCCTGACACCGCCAAGCACCAGCTTGGAGCTCGTGCTCTCGACCTCCGGGCGGTTTCAAAAGTGCAATTCCCAACCGTCGGAGCAGAGACAGATAAAGAGACAGCAGAAAAGAAAGAGACGGTTGCACTAATGTAATTCACACATCAGGCAAATAAATAAGAAGGCAACTCCTTCAGCAGAAGCCACGTTCGCACTCGGGGTTCAACGTGCGGTCCTACAAAATGGAGCCGAGTGCGAAGCCGATCCCGAACTGAGGATGCAGAGTGGCGAGTAATGCAGACAATCCGTCATGCAGGTGTGAACGATTCATTAATTTCTCGCCTTCATACGAATTTTCATTTCAGTTAACATGCAAGCGGAACCGAAGGAAGCCTCAAAGAGTTACGCAGGCAGAGAGAAAAAAGGCGCGATCGATATTGCACTCCTTAAATGGAGTTTTTTTAAATTTAAAATACAATAATTTTTTTTTTCATAATTACCGTGCCGTTTGTTAATGCTTTTATTAAATGTTCTAAAAAGCATTAAGAACCTTATTTATTATTTTTGTTTATTGACTTTATTTCATAAAATCGGCTTTATGACATTATGTGCCCAAGTAAAAAATTGCGAAACATAACTTTAAATAAGAAATTGTTTACTACATAGGTTTTTTTTTCAAGTATAGCGGGATCGGTTAAGGGGCCTTAAATGGAAGATCGACTTCGGACACGGAGTTGCGCTGGACTTTAACGGCAAGGTATACCTGGCAGCTTTCTTGGAGATCCGCTCGGCTACATCCACTGCAGCATCCACATCCAAAAAGACCACTGCTGATCCCCCAAGCTTAACGTCTTCATTACGTACGGCCCACGTTTCCCGCCGCCCCGTCTCCACGCGGCCAGAAACAGAAATTTCGGGAGAAAACCGAAAGACCAGAGCCCCACTCCCTGTCTCTGTTGCCAATTTCGTTTTGCATTTTCAATTTCGTGGCACTTCCTTTTGGGGATCCGGGGATCTGTTCTCCTGGGATTTGTCTGTGGAAAAATGAGTCGGCCCAACCGGCGGGTGGCCAACGATCGCAGCTGGTACAGATTAGTTAGCTGATGAGTCCAAAGATTGATTGCAAATTAGCTTGAAATACTTGCTCCTAAAATAATTATACAAATTGGTTTCTATTCATTAATTGATTAACTAAATTAGAATTTAATCTATATGTCGGTGACTTGTGTTTGCAAATCTTTTGTGTCGAATGCGACTTCGGTACGTATTCAATCTGAATAATAACATGTCTCTAAACTTCATTATAGTTTTAAACAAGAAAGGAAGCTAGCTTCGGCAAGCCGAAGCTTATATACCCTTGCAGTCCGCAAATATTTCGAACAGAATACACAAAGGCTAAACAACATTTCTTTTGTTCATATGGCAGCTATATGATATAGTCGTCCGATTTTGATGAAATTTGATTTTTTATTCAAGAGTCGTTTGAAAACATTATATTCCAAAAATCATGATTTTATGATGAGCAGGGCTAACAGAGTTATGTTTTTAAATGAAAAAATATTTATTTCCATATTTTCGCCTTTTTTCCTATAAATCCATATTTAACACAATCACTTGAATAAATCCATATTTTGAGCATAAAAGTGTCTGAAAACCTATAGAAAGATATGTTTGGCTCAAATATTATGAAATTTCTGTCGTTTGCCTTATACTCGATAATAAATAACGTAAACAAAACATCGTTGCGTCGTTAATAAATCAAAATATGTATCATCGAATGTAACAATTATGATGCAGTTTATATTTTAAGATTCAGTTTTTATTCCATATTTCATGCTTTCAGTTCTTATGTCTCTTAAATTCTAGTGTTTTTACCAATCTGACACAACATGTCATATTGTTCTGCAATGATCTCTGAGACAAACGGCGCACTTTTGTTTGTAGCGATTTCTAATTGTTCATTGTCATAAAAAGTTAATATGATCGATATAATCGTCTACGTTTATCCATTTTTATACCTATATTTATCCCTTTTCTCTCGTATAGACCTACCTATATTTATCCATATTTATCCATTTTATTCCATATTTGTCAACTTTTTCGTCCATATTTCGTCCATATTTCTCTACTTTTTCGTCCATAAATCCATACATATTTTTAGGTTTTTAAGAACATAACTCTGTTAGCCCTGATGATGAGAAATAACGATGTTATCATTTTATTTCCGTTAATTCTTTATAGATTTTTCCTATGGCAGCTATAAGATATAGTTGTCCGATTTTTATGAAATTTTTTTTATAAATCAAGGCTAGTTAAAAAACTTGATACTCAAAAAATCATAGTCGTGTGATGAAAAACAAGAAAGGAAGCTAGCTTCGGCAAGCCGAAACTTATATACCCTTGCAGTCATTAAATATGTCAAACAAAATACATAAAGGCTAACAACATCGAATCTATGACGATTTTTCTATTATTTACCATATTGTTCATATGACAGCTATATGATATAGTCGTCCGATTTTGATAAAATTTAGAATGTAACTCAAGACTCATTAGAAAACTCTATATTCCAAAAATCATGATTGTCTGATGAATCACAACGAGGTTATAATTTTATTTCCGTTATTTCTATATAGATTTTTCGATCTTTCCTATGGCAGCTATATGATATAGTACTCCGATTTTTATGAAATTTTTTTCTCGATTTAAGAGTATTTCAAAAACTTGATGTTCCAAAAATCATGCTCGTGGCATTAAAAACAACGACATTATAATTTTTTTCCATTATTTATATATATATTTTTTGATCTCTCCTATGGCAGCTATATGATAGAGTTATCCGATTTTGATAAAATTTAATGCGAAATTCAAAAGCAGTTAGAAAACGCCACCTGGAAGAAATCAAGTCGATCTGATCAAAAACAACGGAGTGAGATTTTTTTTTTTCAATCTCTCGTATGGGAGCTATCCGATATAGTCGGCCGATCCGGCTCGTTCCGACTTATATACTGCGTGCAATAGCTACACACCTTTTGGGAAAGTTTCTGCAAGATAGCTTTAAAACTGAGAGACTTGTTTACATGGAAACAGACAGACGGACCGACGGACAGACGTACATACATATTTCGATTCTGATGGTGATGCTGATCAAGAATATATATACTTTATGGGGTCCAAGGTGTCTCCTTCATTGCGTTGCAAACTTCTGACTGAAATTATAATACCCTTTTGCTCTGCAAGTGTATAAAAAGCAACAACTATAGCTTTAGAAAAACACGATAACAGGTCTCATGTTGACGTTGTGCAATTTTTCGTTTTCAAGATAAAAAAAATTTAAGACATTTGCACGCGATACAGACAGAAATAGGAGATTTTAGTTCAGTTAATTTTAAAATATTATATACTGGTTGTTCTCAATAAAAATTTTAATATGACTACAAAATATTGTGAAGCTTTTATTTAATTTTAGTCACACATGCATAATTTGTAATTTGTAATTTTTAGACGTAAATAAGATGTATATACATAAATTTTGATGTATTAATAAAGTATTATATTTGTATTTACATTTTTTGTTGACAACATTAATATCAGACTTAAGTGCGAGAATACTGTTTTGAACATCTCTGTTCCAAATTTCCAAGACAGCCTTTATGCAATGATTTTCGCTCTTTGAAATCGCTTAAATTAAATAATATAAAAACAAGGAAGGAAGCTAGCTTCGGTGAACACAAGATTAAATAACCTTGCAGTTAGACCTATAGTCTATTAAGATTTTGTCGTCAGCAATAAAAGGTTTTATATGGGTATTTTTTAACTACGTACAAATTTCCATTCATTTTTTCTATGGTAGCTAAAGGAAATGATCCGATCCCTATCCACGATCGTAACCAATTTTTAAATGTATTGTAGGATATAGGAATGTTTAGCAACATCGAAGTTTTGATCATTTTTCTATCCATTTTACATTTTTATGATTTTTTCGTCGTTCAAGTTATGAAGTTATTGCAAGCAGTAATAAGTCTTCCCGGATCGGGAGGCTATATCGCAAGGCTCTCTTAGGAGAGACCGGGTAACAAATTTCTTTGCAAAGATTGAACTAACAATAGGAATATTCTTACTATGGATTTCAGATAGGTCTAGTCGTTTGCTTCATTTAAGTTTTAACAACAAGGGTATCTAAGCGTCGGCTCGTC